AGGATGAACTTCTTGTTATGTTAATATAGTTTGCCTGATTTAATCTCTATTTGTTTAACTATGTGCTTGTTGTAGTTAATTGACAGAATCCTCAATTAGCTGTGCCTATTTAGTGTGCATAACTCGGGAGAGAGTGCATATTTAGGTAATTGTTGAACAATATCACTCCTAAAGTATATGAGGGATCAATAACTGCGGGTTTAAAGGCGGGATTAGGGATAATGAAGCCTTGGATGCAATCTAAAGTGAGTTGTAATAAACAAAGCCAGCTAGCGTATCTCGGGAGAGTGCGTCTAGTAAATTATCGTGATTACTCGGGAGAGATTTACGGTAATAGGAGTGCTCATGATTGATAGAGATGATTTGGTGATTCTATGTGAAGCATAACCGAAAGGGATTCCATCAATAGGGGAAATCATAACCTTAGAACCTTCTCTTAATTGTTTACAAATCAATCATATTTAGTTTTCAGTTGCTTAGTTACATTCATTTGTAGTTAGTAGAAATACCCTCAATTGTTATTTACAATGTTTGGGAAGTTGATTCCGTGAAATTTAGTAAGCCTAACGAGAAGTAATTGATAGGTTAATTCCTTGTGGGTTCGACTCTAGGCTAAATACTCAGATTATATTTGCAACGTCCGCGTGTCCTTTTTATAAGGCATAGTTGGGCGTGATCATATAACCATAAGATGACAAATGTAAATTTTTATGACAAAGCTCCAAAAAAGTTGGAGTTTTAAAATTCTTTATAACAGAAAACGAAAATATAAAATTAAAAAAAAACTACCCATTCACAGTTTAAATTTATTTGATAAAATTAAGTAAATAAACAATACTCGAAAATATTATTGATAGATTTAAATATAAAAATACTTCTGAGAAAGTCATTGGATAAATCCAAGTTAAATCTATATATAATAAAAAGAGAAGCAAAGCCACCATATTAAGGTAAGTGACATAACCATAAGATGACAAATGTAATTTTTAGGACGAAGCTCCAAAAAAGTTGGAGTTTTAAAATTATTTATAATAAAAAAAAATTACTTATTCACACTTTAAATTTATTTGATAAATTCAAGTAAATAAATAATACTCGAAAATATTATTGATAAATTTAAGTTTAAAAATACTTATGAAAAAGTCATAAGATAAATCCAAGTTAAATTTCAAGAGTAATGCAAAATTATATTCATTGTATTATATTAAACTGATACTTTATTAAAATTCATATGACAATTTAATAATATTAAGTAATGGATAATACAATTAGATAAGCAAGGAATAAAAAAGAAATAAAATATAAATTTATGAAAAATATAAAAATACAAGACTAATAATTAGAATTATGATGAGAAAAGTCGAATACATACACGTAACTAGAATCATAGTAAGAAAATAGTTATAAAGAATGAATATTAACAAAAAAAGAATTTCAACCGATAGCGTAAAGATATATATACTAATTAAATTTTTCATATGGGAAATAATAATTAATAAATAGAACTCATAATTTCATGATAAAAAATAAAAAAAATATAAAATATTATTAGGATATTGTACATAAGATATGCATATTATATATAAAACACAAATTAATAATTATTATATTATTGGTAGGTTTTTTATAAAAATAATAAAATGATGATCTCTTTATGCGGTTGATGAATTCAAATTTATAATTTAGTAAAAAAATATTACATTATTTAAATTTTCATTAAACTACAAATGAGAAAAATAATCAGATATTACCGTACAAATAATGTATGAAAAGAGCAAGGGACATCGATGGCTTACCTGAAATAACAGCAAGGGACAACCAATGATCCCATCAGAAGTGCAATTGATTAATGGCAAAATACCTTATCAACCCCCTAAATTTGACAGAGATTATTAGTTACAACCTTAAACTATTTATGGTCTTAATTACCCCTCTCAACTTGGCCTTTTGAGATCCATTACCTCTTGGACGCTTATGTGGTAAATAGTGTGGGTGCACTCGCCTGCCACGTGAATTTTTTTTTTTGTATATGTGGTATTTTTTTGAAAAATAAAATATATTTTTACCTTTATAAGTATGTTACTTTTTTAGATAATTTTTATCGAATACAATTTATAACAAAATTTGGATAGAACTACATTATTTATGCTAATTTTTTTTTAGCTAAAAATAATAAAGTTTTAGTTAATCTTTTTTTTTGAATTTGACCTGAAACTAAAGATTTATACAATTAAAATAAATAGTCAAGGCATTTAGAAAGTTATAATTATAATACATAGTCTGAAATTATTTATTTTGGCTATAATATTTTACTTGAAAAGAGTGTATCCATAGAGTAAGTTATTTCTTGCAATTGTACACTCTTTTTATTTCTTCTTTTGATGCAATAACTATTTGTTTCAACTGTATATTTTTACTTTTTTCAGGTAAAATCTATAGAAAATATATTTTTAGAGCACCATAATTTAGATCTATATAGAAAATAATAGCCAAAATAATTAGTTTCAAATTATATATTTTTATAATTTTTTTAGATGCTTTGACTATTTATTTCAATTGTATAAATCTTTATTATCAAATCAAATTTAAAAAAAGATTAACTAAAACTTTATTATTTTTAGCCAAATAAAAAAATTTAGCCTAAATAATGTAGTTCTATCCAAGTATTATTATAAATTGTATTCGAAAAAAACTATCTAAAAAAGTAGCATACTTTGAAAGGTAAAAATATATTTTATTTTCAAAAAAAAAAATGCCACATATACAAAAAAATCCACGTGGCAGGCGAGCGCACCCACACTCTTTGCCACATCAGCGTCCAAGGAAGTAATGGATCTCAAAATGCCAAGTTGAGGAGGATAATTAAGACCGTGAATAGTTTAAGGCTGCAACTAATAATTCGTGTAAGTTTAGGGGACTAGTAAGGTATTTTGCCTTGACTAATTAGACCTGTAGATCAACTTTTCCGTAAACCACTAACGTTCTTGAATTCTTGAAACGATAATTTAGGAATAGGAAGCTATACAACATAAACGTAGCGTTCCTGGTGTAATTAGCTATACGTAGGTTCGCCAGAATGCAACTCTAAAGTCAATTTGACTTTTGATTAGCGTACAATATTTATTTTAACTATACTTGTTTGCCAGAATGCAACCTGCCTATGTTATACCATTGACTAAATAATAATTTTCCAGAGTTCCACCAACCTATATGTCTTATACAGTAGCATCCCAAGGTTTTGCAGTACAAGAAGTTACATATGCTGCTTGTAGTTGTCAAGAAGTTTTAATTTTAAGCTTTCAAAACTCAGGCTCTTATACGTATGTTCTCCATGTAAACTTTTCTTTAGATAGTTCTTTGAATAAGTTTTGAAATAACGCCCTTTCTCACAATTCCTTAGAAAGTGTAATCTCTTTTCCTAAACAAAATAGATAACAATATTGTAGAGAATATTGAAATGAAGATTCTAAGAAATTAGTGTCTGATATATAACCATAGAATCTGTGGTACATTTAGATTTTTCTTTCATTTTGCAGTATAAATTTAAAATTTTACCTATGGTCCACACCAGCCAGTGGTCATATATTCCTGGAATCTTGCCAGCAGCAACATATTCCCTTCTTGCTACAGTTCCTACATCAGTCCAAGAAGACAGTTGTACCTATGTTTACAGAGCAAATACAACACCAATACAAGATTCCTAGCTTCACATTCTACAAAAACAACAGACAACATAAATATCTTAGAGACTAAAATGAGTAACATTTTAATAGTTAGGGCAAAAAGGAAAACTGAAAGGAAAAAACTGTATATGCAGGCCTTTGTGAATGAGAAAAATAATTTATAAACCATAGGATACTGTGTACAAAAAAATACACTTTTTTTTTGTGTGGAAGCACTTCTACATAATGTGCATGTTTCTGCTTTATACCACAGTTAATTGGTATCCTGAAGAATGTAATGGAAAATACGTGAGGAATGAGGACGGACATAAACTGTCAAGCAGCATACCTATTCATTTTTGAATAGCTATCTGAATTCATGCTCTAATGTTACTCCCACATGCAATTCTTTGTTTTCAAGCAATTTACATGAGATAACCAAACAACCAAACTCCTTCGGCAAGAGCAAAGCTAGGAATCAGGAGACCATGTTCATTCATACTTTCAAACAACTGTAGAAAATAAAACTAGTGAATGTCCCTAGGATAAGGCCTAGTGTAGCTCAAATCCCAGGACAGAGCAGCCATACAAGAACTCCCGTTTTATTTTGATGATGATTTTGCAGTTAAATCTGCAGAATGACAACATTAAATGTTTTAAGTTTTTCCATTTTTTTTCCACTCCACAACCTGTATGACCAATTTCAGATAAAATTTTGAAATGTCTATACATCCTCAGATATGAGTCATATGACTCAAGTGTAACAGTTGCCCAAATATATAAAATTGCTGCAATCCCAAGAAAAGAGAGTGCTAGGAAAGCAGGACCTCTTTAACCAATTTTCTCTTAATTCACATTCCATGAGAGATACAATATACCATCAGAAATCAAACATCAAATCTTTATAATTTTGCCACTCAACCCGTCAGATTTATATAACAGCGGTTCATTAAATCACAAAAGCTCCATAAAAACTTGGAGGGTGGAAATTGACAATTCAATAAGAAAGAATCATCTCACACGCTTCATCTCAAATCACCAAACATGATTCTTCCCTGTTCACTGAATAAAAATTTGATTTACCAGGAGTTTAAGAAAGAAAGATTTTGGAGCACGTTACTATTAAAGAGTTTCCAACTTTATAAAAGTGGCAATCTTTTAGAAAGGCGTCCTACAAAATGAAACAGTATCACCAGAAATCAAAGAAAATCTTTATAGTTTTTACACTCCATCCATTTGAATAAGTAAGGACGCATCATTAAATCACAGAAAAAATGGTAAAAACTTGGAAGGTGGCCCCTGATAATCTGTTAGATGCTGAAAATTTATGAAAGAAACTGAGAAGAGAAGGAAATTACTATTGGCAATAGATTGTGCAAGAATCTTTAAACACAATTTACAACCGACAAATCTGTCCGTATGGAGTGGACAAAACTCCCGGATACTAATATTTAGACAAACATTCAATGCCCTTAAAGCTAATCCTGACTAGATATTTATAGAATACATATTGTTTAAAATAACTAGAAAACTGTAAAGCCTAATCGGATAGTAAGTTGGAATATTTGGTAACTGCTGGAGAGAATTAATGAGGCACTTTCCTCCTAATGCAGTTTCTTCATGCTGGAGAGAAGTTGGACTTGGCCGAAGCTGCACAAATCTTATTTCCTCTTTCATGTTTTCTTCCAAAATAAGTCTTCAAAGGTGGGATTGTATCATAATCCAATTAGAAAGAATTACCTCACACGCTCCTTCATCTCAAATCACCAAATATCATTCTCCCCTGTTTCATTTCATGTAACCATGACCGAACAGGAATTTTAATAAAGATTAGTCGTTTAGAACATGTTACGACTAAAGAGTTCCAAATAAATGTAAGTGTCAATCTTTTTGAAGGAATCATACAAAATGAAACAATATCACCAGAAATCATAATTAAATCTTTATAGTTTTTACACTTCATCTATCTGATATGCGCGGCATCATTAAATCACAGAAAACATGGTAAATACTTGGAAGGTTGCCATTGATAATCCAATGAGAAAGAACCATCACACTTTATCTCAAATCACCAAATATTATTCTCCCTGGTTTCCTTTCATATAACTGTGATCAACCAGGAATACTAATAAAGAAAAGACTTTGCAAACATGTTATGACTTTTCAAACATTTTACGACTAAAGTGTTCTCAAATCTATTAAAAATGTCAATCTTTATCAGAACCACTCAAATAAAATGAAACAGATTGGATAAACTATATCTTTAAGTGCATTCCAAAATCGGAAATCTGTTGTTCATCAATGGCATCAAAATTGTCAAATCTCACTTTCAGCAATCACTACTCAAGTACCAGTGTACCACTACCTCCTACATCCTAGAGAACTATATAAAATATTCAAGTTCTGTATAGTGACAGAGTAAAACTTATTTTTACAATCAGATCACTTATTAGGTAATTACATGTTAATCAATCAATAAGCATTAATAGATAATCTAATAAAAGTAGTAACTATCTTGTCCTCAGTCTAAATAAATTTTTATACTCGTGTATATAACTTAAATCGATAAAATATACATAAAAGCAAGATCTAGCGGTCGAATTACACAGTCACCAATCTACAAAGTCAGATCCAGGCAAATCAAATCTGAAGTACTAAGAAGAAGAAAACACACACACACACACAAAAAAAAAAAAAAGTAACAATTGGAATCAAACTGAACAGTTTAATTAAACCTGAGGTGAAACAACTGCCGAAATATTAGATCGATCCTGAACAAAGCTGACTTAGCTTAAATCAATCCAAAATATATGCAATTCACAGCAGTCTCCAATTCAGTTGATGCAAGGCGGGACAAATTTCGCCGCAAAACAAAAAATGTTGATAACTTCGTACATCTAATCTCCATTTAATAACAATCACCGCCGTTGTGATTGCCGCCGCCGCCACCGGCGAATTAGTCCCGACCTGCACCAAGCGAATTAGAGACAGCCGCAATAAATGGAAATACGAGACTAGAGAGAACTGTGTATATGCAGAGTAGGGAGAAAGATGATATTTATAGCTGAAACTAACGAATAGGATAATGACACGTGGAGCAGATAGATGCTTCTGCAAAATTTTGGAAAAATCGAGAGGGTTTTAAAAGCGTGACTGTAATGTGAATATATTGACTTTACATTTGGTGTGACTAACGGGGGATAGTTGTCACATGTGACGCGTGATCTGCGACTGCAACGTGTATGGATATTCAAAATTCAGGAAAAAATTAACTTTATAAGTCAAAAAAAAAATTTGAACCCAAGACAACACGGTGGCAATAAAACTACCGCAACTCCCAAACGCATCATACCATTTCTTTCAATGCATATAAATAACTTACATTTATATTTAATATTTGATTCTTAAAAAAATAATATATAGCTACACAAATGTAAGTGATTTGCTTGGATAACAAAATTTGATTTTTCTTTTAAATTTTATTTTCAGTCAAATAGTTACGCATAAATTGAGACACAAGGAATATTTCTTTTTGTTGGTTTGGTATAGTAAATAACTATAATTATAGTAGCGAGACTATATTTTTTCTTTATGGTATAAACGAAAATAAATGCATCTTTGAATATTATAAATTGAAAAATCCTTAAAGAGATCTGTTTAGATTTTCCAGCTTAACTTGAGAAGAGTTAGTTGCACTTTCAAAACATGTTGAAAATGAAAATAATAAAGAATGACTTTAAGTTTCATATATTGATCGCTTAAAAATATTTACTCAACCAAATCACATGTATATGATAATTATGAATACATATCTATTATAAGGGTCACTTGATAGCCTGATAAAATGGTAAGTAACATATTATCACAAATTAAAAATATTTAATCGTGTAATTTTTTTTAAATTACCTGTGCATATAGCTTAAACTGCCTCGATACTAACTTTTACGAAGCCACTAATCTTCTTATAAATTTCATTCCTAAAAAATCTGGTAATCGTAAACTGCTTTGGTTTATCTAGTCTTGATAAATGAAAGGCATTCGCTCTTATTTCACACAGTCAAAGATAAGGGTCGTCTCCTCAAAGTCTCTACCTGATCGAAGAGACCAAACCTTGGGAAGACATCACCTATGCTAGAAGGCTTTGTCGGCTTGATGCTATCTAGATATCTATTAAAAAAGTAAGGATTTTCTACTTCTTTTAGCGTCTAAACAAAAGCTTCTTCAAATTAGATTCTCTGTCCCAATTAAGAAAGTAAAACAAAGATATAGAAAGCAATTGACAGTGAAACTCTTTCGTTTAGTCAAATCACATATTCATGGATGGGTAATTTTAATAATGTCGTCCAGACACAAAATCATGTATCCCCAAAAATGGATGGGTAATTTTAATAATGTCGTCCAGACTACAACACAATATCATGTATCCCCATAAATGGAAAGTTGTTACTTTAAGAAACTGCAATTATTTAAACAATGGCTGTTTTAAATCATATAGTATGAGATTAATGTTCTTTCTTCTTTGGAGAAAATGATAAATCTAGCTTCAAATTAGGGGAACAGATAAATGTATATATGGTGTTGAACTTCAATGAATAGATTGGACATTGCTAGCCCTTCATTTAGAATTATTAATAATAAAAAAGTCATAACAATTCCTTCTTTTTCATGGTACGTAGAAACATTCTTAATAGAATCTAATAAGTTGCTTTTTCTCTCTCCTCTTTTTTTTTTATTTAAGATGAAAATTTATCAAGAACGTAGAAACGATAGGAGAAACTGTTGGCCAATTTAGTATGAATAGTACATGAACGATAGCTGGAATCACGATCATTGTTAGAATTCGCGGCTTCCCCAAAATTATGCTATCTGAGATCTTTAGGAAAGAGGATCAAATTGGTCTTGCGACATGGTTGCATTTATCATCTACTTCTGAGACCCTAGACGATTGAAACCCCCCCGGCGGGGTAGCCCTAATATGGTTAGAACCAATTGTGCTAGGGTAACAAAACTTACACTTACTCACATTGGTGTATCCTGCCATGTCCGGACAACGAATTCATTCTTATAATCGAAAAAGTAAATTCCACGTTAACATGAATTTGTAAAGTGAATTAACGCACCCTATACTTTTATTCCGGCAGATATTCATATACCCAAAAAGAAGCATATCCATGTCTCGACTAATCAAAATATATTCGCCATGCATTATCTTACTTCATCTTTCATCAACTACCTAGAAAACACTTTCTTCTATTTTCATATTTTCCACAATTTTACTTAAAATTCAATGGAGCCATCATCAATTAACAAAATTTAAATTCTTTAAACTTAATATAAACCTTAATTTATTTTGGATCGAATTCGAATATATAAAACTAAGAAAAATTAATGGAGTTTCTTTCACTTTACCCAATTTTCCTCTATGTGGGGGCTGGGGATTGAAATTTAACACCCTACAATAATTCTCGTGTTGGTTGTCTTATCAGAAGATGTAATAATTTCTTTGATAAAAGCTAAGATATGGGTGGGTATATAGCAATACCTAACAATCTTCTAGAGTTTATTTCCTATGTGTATTAATTTGATAGGTGCATATAGGATGTGGAAAAACAAAGGATACAAACAACCCACAAACAACGGACAAAAAGAAGAAAAAGAACAGAAAAAGTTTTAATTCATAAAGATGCTTCAAGGAACTCTTATGATTATTAAAGGGTTTAACTACTATTTTCTCGGTTTTAATTTAGATGACGTAGTTACTCGACAGAGAGTTTAAGAAAAAAATAATTTGAAACTTGTGGTCTCAAAAGCTTAAGGAATAAAAGCTTTGTGGGATCATAACATTTATGTGGTTATAAAAGCTTCTCATTAAGGGTAAAATGCGTAAAATAAAGAATTTAAAATTTAACTATTTTCAACTGTGGAAATATATTATTCCTTTTGGAATGAATTCATAGGAAAGTGTGTCATCTGAATTAATTGATAATTCAAGAAAATAAAATTATAACATTATATATTGAATCATCCAAGAAATATTTACATGTAATGCAGATTAAGTTGCCAAATTAAACTTGAACTCGGTGTATAAAATGTAATTAACACAAAATCGAAAATCTATGGGTCATTGCTTGTGTTGTAACTTTTTTTTGGGCTTCTCATTTGGTGTTTGGTATTTTTATATTGGGGCCCGACTAAATTTAGATTCGCGATGAAAAATTTTACATTGCTTCCAACTAAAGCGACTTTATATCCGGGCTCAAACCTAGGACGTCTGATTAATTATGAGTAATTACTTATCACTTCACTACAACTCGTGTTGGTGCTTGCGCTGTATCTTCTTGACTTGTGATGCCAAAAAAGTGTCTCCCAAAATAAAAGTTCTAGAAGAATAAAAGGCACAACCGAACAAATATATTGATCGACTAATGAGGAATTTTTAGAAACCACTATTGTTTAGTGGTTATTAACTTCCTATAGCTACCATATACATAATTACTTCCGATAGTTAATATTTAGTTGTTACGTGACTATATTCGTTGTATTCGCGCTACTGTACTCATGAATACAGTAGCAAAATTCGCCTAAATAATAGGGTAGTCCAACTGTGCGATTGTATTCGCACTACTATATTCATGAATATAGTAGCAGAATTTGCTAAAAGATAAGGAAATCCAGTTGTTTAATAACGGAAAGAGGATCAATGAGTGTGTATCTCTCCTAATTTAACTCAACAAAATCAATTCTACATAAATTTCGCTGTTACACGATTGTATTCGATGTATTCGCGCTACTGTATTCATGAATACAATAGCGGAATTCGCCTAAAAAATATGGGAGTCCAGTTGTGCGACTGTATTGGTTGACGCTACTGTATTCATGAATACAGTAGCAGAATTCGCCTAAAAATAGGGAAGTCCAGTTGTTTAATAACGGAAATTCAATTAGCGTGCTCCTAATTTAACTCAATAAAATTAATTCTACAAAAATTTCACTACTACGGTGTTGCATTCAATATATTCACGCAACTATATTTATAAATACGGCAAGGTAATAAAAAATATGTTGTATACTGTTATATTCAATTCGACTGTATACATTGTATTCAATTCACATATATTCATTATTCGCTATTATACATTGTAGTCAATTCACTGTATTCAATTCGACTGTATTCAAACACTAAAAATTATAAAATACAATGATATTCGACTATATTAAAAACATACAGACCTTCAGAATACATAAATACAAGCAAAAAATAATAAATTTATACAAAAATACAATATATTTGAATGTATTTGTACAGAATATAATGTATTTGTATCATTGTATGTGGCTAAAATAGCAAAGAAGAAAAGTTCGCCGGAGATGGCATTTTTCGGCCAATCAAATATATATATAGTAAGTATTAAAACTAAAAATGGAGACGAACAAAAATCTAGACCTCAAATTTTCTCTGGTGTAGCCATGAATGATCAGATTTGTTCGCCCAAGTGGATGAGCCAATAGTAGGTGATGACGCCGCCGACGATCACGATGATGACACTGACGATTCTGCTGATTTGATGGAGAAGAGAAAGGATTGAGAATCTTGCTTATAGAGAGAGAAGGGAAAAAAAAAGAGAAATAACATAATTGGTGTACTTCATGCCTCAATGGTAGGTATAAATAAATACTATTTTACTATAAAATATAAAATATAGCTATAAGTAATAATATTTTTAAATTATTTTAGTTTATAATAAACAAAATTTAATTATTTATTATACGAGGTGAAATTTCCTTGATTAAGGGTGTGTTTGGCATGAAGGAAAATGTTTTCCATGGAAAATATTTTCCTAAAAAATATTTTCATGGAAAATAAGTGGTTTTATCACTTATTTTTCCTTCTTTGATTGGTAAATGAAAAATACTTCTAGTGTTTAGTTAGAGAGTACAAAATATTTTTGATAGAATATACGAGTCCACCAAACTATATAGTTCTATATAGGTTTTCACAGATAACACTAATGCAACAGTAAATAAATGGAACGGGG